CAGTACCTACACCAACTAGTTCAATACATATAATATCAAATGAAGTTAGTTATGGTGGAAATGTTTTTCCAAGCGGTGTAGGAGTAATTGTTCATCGTGCGGTTGATGTTGATATTGTTGATAATAGTATTCATCATCATCGATATACTGGAGTATCAATAGGATGGGAATGGGGTTATGCTCCATCATATACAAGTAATATATTAGTTCATAGTAATTATATTTATAATACTGGACAACATATTCTTTGTGATCAAGGTGGTATTTATACATTAGGTATTCAACCTGGAACGATTATTACTAATAATGTAATTAAAAATGTTTTTAGTTATGCTGCTTATATGTGGGGTATTTATTTAGATGAAGGTTCATCTCATATTATAGTTTCAAATAATGTTGTGTATAATATTGGATGGGGTGGTTTGTTTCAACATTATGGTGCTAATAATACCATTATTAATAATGTATTTGCACGTAATTCCGAAATTCAACCACCACATCCTGATGATCCTATTCCCGATGGGGATCTGCGTATTATGAATACTGAAGATCATCTTTCGTGGACATTCGAAAATAATATTGTCTATGATACATTTCAAGGAAGCAATCATTCTGCATTTAAATCTGATGCACCAGATGTTCGCGTATCCTTTAATAATAATGTTTATTATAATCCCTATAATACTCCATTACTATTCGGTATACAACAAACATCATTTATAGAATGGCAAAAAACAGGACAAGACAATAGCAGTATAATAGCAGATCCATTATTTACAGGCGATGTTAATCAATGTGATTTTTTTACTGTTCAATCTAATAGTCCTGCAGTAAAACTTGGATTTGCAAATATAACTAAACTTTCGAAATGGGCTCCTGGATGTGGTACAGATAATGTAGTTAACGATAATCAATTTTATCATTGGTAATAGAAATATTGTTATCTTACTTTTCATTTCTCTAGGTGATGGTTTATAGAATAGATAATAGTTTATGATAGTTTGAAATGGGTTTTTTTTTCTATTTCTGCGTTTATTTGAATAAATTATTTATAAATAAATACATCTTCTGCGCAAAAGAGGGCGAGGTTGTAGCTGAGTTTAAACTCGAGTGATATGGTCTTATTCTATCCGTATCACGATCATAAGAAGAGAAGGAAAAAAGAAAAGATATATATAGTCAAATATGTACATAAGATTAACATTTTCTAATTATCAAAATAAAATATACGTCTTTACTTAATCGTATTCAATTTTGCCTATTTACTTCCAATAAGAGAAAAAAACGCGCCTTTCAAACGAAATACGTGCTTAATCTTTGAAAAACAATACCATATGCATCTTTCATGATATTTTCAATCAAAAAAACAAGAAGACTAGCACAATGAAGATTCTACATCTTATTATTTTTCTTGTAAATATATTTTCAATAATATCTCAATCACCTGATCAACTTTATGATGAATTATTTCAAGCTGTACAAATGCAACGTATATTTTCTGATACGAAAACATTTTGTGATGTTATTCCACGTGAATTAACTCCAAATGAAATTCTTCTTTTATATCGAAACGAATATAATAAATCAACATTTAATTTAACATCATTTGTTTTAAATAATTTTATTTTACCAAATATAACAATAATTGTACATGAACAATGGACAATTGAAGAACATTGTCATCGTTTATGGTCATTATTAACACGAACAACCAATGAAAATTATTCATCATTTATGGATGTTCCATATCCATTTATTGTACCTGGTGGACGTTTTAGAGAATTTTACTATTGGGATACTTATTTTACAATGTTAGGTTTAATTCGATCAAATGAAACACAATTAATAAAAAATATGTTAGATAATTTTGCTTATTTAATACGAAAAATTGGATTTATTCCAAATGGTAATAGATATTATTATGAAGGTCGATCTCAACCACCATTTTTTTCCTTAATGACTGAATTAGTTAATCAAACAAATAATTATCGTTATGAATTAGAATTAGAATATCAATTTTGGATGACTAAAAGAAATATAACATTAGATGATGGTACAATTTTAAATCGATATTATGATGAATTCCATGATCGACCAAGAATGGAAGCCTATTTTAAAGATGTTCAATTAGCAAATAAAATAAATAATACAAATATATATGCACATCTTCGTGCAGCTGCTGAATCCGGTTGGGATTTTAGTTCTCGATGGATGGAAAATGAAACAGATTTATCAACATTAATAACAACACATATTATTCCTATTGATCTTAATTGTTTATTATATCATTTAGAATTAACATTAGGTAAAATAGAGCAAGCTAAATATCGTCAACAAGCTATACAAAAATATATGTGGTCAAATGAACGAAAATTTTTTTTTGATTATAATTATATAAAAAAACAATTAACAAATCGTTTAACATTAGCAGCTGTTTTTCCTTTATGGCTTAATGTTGCAACTAAAGATCAAGCACAATATGTTGCACAACAAATTGAATTCTTATTTTTACATGATGGTGGTGTTGTTACAACATTAGCAAATCAAAGTTCACAACAATGGGATTATCCGAATGGATGGGCGCCATTACAATATATTACATATCGTGCTTTACTTAAAACTTCTGGTTATGAATCACTTGCTCGAATAATTCGTCAACGATGGATGAATATTAATGAACGTGTATTTAATAATACAGGTAAAATGATGGAAAAATATGATGTTATCGATACGAATAAATTAGCTGGTGGTGGATTATATGAAACACAAGATGGCTTTGGTTGGACAAATGGAGTTTATTTAGAAATGCTTTATGATAATAATAATGATCCACAATTATCAATATGATATTTAATCAAATATTTCTTAACATTTCTTTTAATTAAATGATATAGAAAAGATTCAAAAAAATTATCAGAAATATTAATAAATATTAGTTTAGATGTAGATGGCTTTATTAATGTGTAAAAAAGAGAAATTTTGTTTTATTCAATCATACATAAGTGATTGAAAATATTCTTTGGTGTTCATTCACTTTTCGGTCGGAAATATATAAGTCTAGGAATATTCTCTTGTCAGTTGTAATTTTCAATGTAATACCAGTCTCTTTTAACTATTCTATCAATATCATACACAGACGTTATTTCGAACTGTTATTGATAAATATTATATATAAGAGAAATTTGTCTTGTAATATATTTAATAGATCATAGAGAACAAAATATAAAAGCACAACTCTTTATTGTTAATGTTGTATAATACATGTGTATCAGTCAAAGTGAAACAATCATTAATCAAATATTCCACCAAACAATTTTTTTTTCTTCTACAAAACGCCGCATTTCTTACAGGAAATGCTGTTTTTTTCAGTAATAATCTCTCGACATGCACGTTCTATCTGAAAGTTTTTTAGAATTTCCTACGCATTTCATATTTACAATAAATAATAGCTCACATATGGTTTTATGTTGATTATGATTAGTCTTATGAAAGGAAATGCGTCGATTGCCATTGTATGCTTGACGTTATTATTAGATTTGCTGCAAATATTCTGATAAATATTTTACATTGACATATTCTCGTAGGCGAAGAAAGAAAATTTTAAATGAATATATTTTTCCATTATTATACTAGACATTTTTTAAAATCCTTTCAAAGATTTTAAAGTCAGTTGAATTATCATCGGTAGAAGAAAACTTATTTTTACTATAAGCACATAACAGTATAAAATAAAGGTAATAATTTTTATTCATCTTATGGAAAATACAAACTTTATCTAAACTCATGTGTTTGTGAAGAATATTTCAGAAGTCTAACAAAAACGTTTTCATTAATATGTTGATACTAATGGAGGTACTCGATGTTAGCCCAGAACCTTCCAGATTGAAAAGTTCATATATCAGAAAACGACTGAAAATGTACAGAGGGTTGTACTTGAAATTTTTCATGTATCACCATAACATATCCCACTATACATATCTAAAATAGAATAATTCAGGCTATGGAATACTCTAAATCCACCCATGTTCTTGAGCTCGAATCATTTAAGCACCAAAATGATTCTCCTGACATATGTGGAGACATATTAATAGAAATTACGAAACATCAACCGCTCCGAACCTGTACCCAAACGTATGGACCGAACCCAAATTAAGTTTGGATTCGGGTGCATGCCTAGTGATGCCAACTTCCTCTCCGCCTTCCTCTGGACCTAAGGAAGTGTCATGGAGGGTGGGGTTCGGCGGGATCCGAATCTGGATTCGGGACAAATAAAGGGATAGGAATGTTTCCGCCGGGACCATAATAGAGAGTGTGGATGTGGGTGTTGATGATGAATGAGAAGAATACATACATCGGTCCTTCTCTTATTGTAAAAAATATGATATTTAGAACCATTCAAAATGGAAGACCATAATGAAAATCTTTCAATCGAATCGATAAAATTGGCTTTCGATGATCTAAAGATAACTGATGATTTACACATATCAAGCGAAAAAGTTCAAATCCAAAACAATTCGGAAGAAAACTCTGATGAACAAAATTTATGCTTGAATAAAAATAAAACATTTGATCAAACACAAATGTTGACAGTAGAGAATGATATTAATACGGTTCTCAGTAACTCTCAAACAACAAATCCTCGGATTGTAGAAACTACTACTGAAACACAAAATTTCTCAAGCACCAATATCATCAACGATATTAAGATAAAACTCAGTCCTATTGTGGATTACGCCAAAGAGCCTCTTTTACCACTCTCTCAAGCATGTGCTCCGCTAAGTTGCATTCTTTACAATTTATCATTCTATGTTCAATTAGCATTACTGAAAACTCCCGAACACCCACGCAATGGACTTACAGTTGATGAGAGTGCTGCAATTCGTCTATACACAATGGAATGGAAAAAGCCACATCGAAGTCTTTATTCCATGCTCAATTTCAATCTGAAAAAAGTCGATCGTATTAATCTTATACCGTATCACAAATATTTAAAATTATTTTTAACAGCTCTTGTAAAATTACCACCTGAACCTCCAATGACTATTTGGCGAGGAGTACCAAAAAATTTAAGTGTCGATTTTTCATGTGGTACTCAAGTAACATGGTGGGCGTTTTCATCATGTACTACTAAAATGACTGTACTTAAGAACAATATGTATTTGGGCAATACTGGTCATAGAACATTGTTTTCTGTAGAAACTATTAATGCTCGAGCAATACGTACTCATTCACAATTCAATACTGAAGATGAAGTTCTTCTTCTACCTGGTACTCATATGTTAGTTCAATCACAACTCAATCCTGCACCTGATCTTTATATTATTCATTTAAAACAGATAGTACCAGATGAAGTACTACTAGAACCTCCATTTGAAGGTATTTTAAATATTTTCAACCAATTATTTTTCAATAATTTCTTTATTTTAATTTAGGCGCAATTCTTTATCCAAAAATTCTGTAAGTTAAATGTTACTTTTACAAGCTATGTTTTAACAGAACTTTTTATTATTATTGCAAGGCGTCCATGGTATCGCACAAAGAGATTTATTATTCTAATCAGCTTTTTCATCGTTCTTATCATCGGAGGAATCATGCCTGGTTCTGTTTTGAAAACAAAATCTAATCACAAAACAGCAGGTATACTTTGCAATATTTTTGAGTGTGTGTATGTATACGAGATTGTCCTAGTAAAGGGTGGGTATGGGTGTAGATTCATCTTTTATTCACCCACCCCTAGTTATATACTCATTAATTTTCCAGCATTAAACCTTTCTATATAAATCATTTACAATATCGTTATATTGTAGTCGCTTCATGCAATAATCCATTTTTACAACCAGTTCTCTATAAGACCGGAAATTCTCCGAGATCTGCAACACTTGGATACTTCAGAAATCCTACGAAATTAGATGTGGTAGTAACCGGACACGAAGATAAATTCATCAGTTTGATTCGTGGCAATGGCGACGGAGTTCTTGAAACTACAGGAACCAATATAGTTGGAGAAAAACCATCGTCCGCTACATCAGGTGATTTTAATGATGATGGCAAAATGGATCTTGCAGTAGCTAACTCTGGTGATAATACTATTACGATACTGTTTGGAAATTCAGATGGTACTTTCGAGAATTCAACGAATTATATGACAGGTAAAATGCCAATATCACTGATTTCAAGTGATCTTAATAATGATAAAAAACTGGATCTAATCGTGGCTAATTATCGCGATAACACTCTCAATATATTTCTTGGTGATAAAAATGGAATGTTTCAAGTCTCAATTAATTATACAGTTGGTAAAATGCCATTATCAATAACTTCGGCAGATTTTAATAATGATGGCAAAATGGATCTTGCAGTCGCGAACTCTGGTGATAATACTATTACTGTACTTTTCGGTAACGGAAACGGGTCGTTCACAAATTCAATGAACTACATGACTGGTAAAATGCCAATCTCACTAATTTCAGGAGATTTTAATAATGACTTCAGATTAGATCTTGCTGTCGTTAACTATCGTGATAATATGATCAGTATATTTCTTAATAATAAAAATGGACGGTTTCAAACTCCAATCAACTATACGGTTGGTAATGGTCCTTCCAGTATTGCGTCAGGCGATTTTAACAGTGATGGCGAGCTGGATCTTGCAGTTTCGAACCAAAACGAAAATTTTATCAGCATGTTTCTTAGCAATGGAAGTGAAACGTTTCAAATCTCAGTCAACTATACAGTACGTCAAAACTTGCGTTGTATAACTTCAGGTGATTTTAACAATGATAATAAATTGGATCTAGTAGTAATCTATTATAACGACAATACCATCAATGTGTTAGATGGTGATGGGAATGGAATGTTTGAAAATTCAATAAACTTTACAATTGATCGCAAGGCGTATTTCGTCATATCTGATGATTTTAATAATGATAAAAAGCTGGATCTGATTATGGTCAATGATGAAGACAAGTCCATCAGTATACTACTTGTTGTTGAAAATACAACAACATTTGAAATTCCGATGAAATATAGACTTGATAATGAGGGAGTCGCTATGACATCAGATAATTTCAATAATGATAATAAAATGGATCTTGCAGTGATTACTGATGATAACATCATTAGTATACTACTTGCCAACGAGAATGGAGGATTTGACAACGTAAACAACTATAACTTCGATACAATGCTTTACTCAATAATTTCAAATGATTTTAATAATGATAACAAAATAGATCTTGCAATAACCAAGTTTCATAACAGTACTGTGAGTATCCTTCTTGGCATTGAAAATGGTGCTTTTGAGATTCCAATGAATTTTATAGTTGGTCGGGGGCCAACCAGCATGATTTCAGATGATTTCAATCATGATACGAAACTAGATCTAATAGTGATCAACGTAGGCAGCAATACTGTAAGTGTGCTACTTGGTGATGAAAGTGACATATTTCGTACTCAAATAAATTATACAGTTGGTACATTTCCAATTTCAATTACGTCGGGCGATTTTAATAATGATAATGAGCTGGATGTAGTAGTGGTCAGTAGCGACGATCAGACCGTTAGTATACTGTATGGAATTGGAAATGGAGCATTTTACACTTCAGTGAGTTTTATAATTAGCAAGGGACCCTACTCAATAACCTCCGCTGATTTTAACAATGATCAAAACCTGGATCTAGTAATTACGTACAGACAAGCCAAATGTGTCAGTGTTCTGCTTGGGTATGGAAATGGGCTCTTTCGAACTCCAATTCTATATAAAACTGGCGCTCCTCCAGTTCTGATTTTATCAGGAGATCTCAACAATGATAAAAGACCAGATTTAATTGTAACCAGTACGGGCGCTGAAGGTTTGTATGTTTTTTTGAACGTCTGTCAAAACGAATAATTTAATTTTCGCTTTATCAATATATAAACTGCTTGCTAATATTGCTTGTGAAATTTACTTGAACTCTAATAAAAATGTGTTTCTAATATTTTTTCTTCATTTGATCTATAATAAAAACTGATTAAAATTTAATTATTATTATTATTCAGAGAGGCACTAATGACAATTATTCATTAATTAATGCAATGAATTGGTAACCTTCAAAAGATTCATTTTTCTCAAGAAAGTTCAGCATTTCTTCAGAATATTAATCGAAACTGATATAATTTTTTTTCTAGATATCTAACCATATGTAATGAAAAACGTTTTTAGAATCAACTAGAAAAGTTTTCAAATACTTGTTGAATAAAAGACGTTCTACAAGCTGCGTATTACTGAAATAAGCATAATTAAAAACAAATATATCATACAAAGTGATCTATTTAATATAAACTATTATCACATCATATATAAAATCGAATAGATAGAAGTAACGGATACCACGAATATTGAAGATCGACTTTCAGTAACTCATGAGTATATAACATATGTTTATTCAGGGGATAATTCTCAAAATAGAATTGAGGATAAGAATAAAGGCAATTGTAACAACCAGCTTACTTCTATTAAAATAAAAACTGAATGTATTTTTATACTTCTCATTTTATTTTACAAGAAAAAAAATAGAAAAGAAAAGAATTCATACAATATTTATATGAAATATTTAATTATTGAAATAAAATCCACTTCACGTTCGACATTGATACATTCTGTAGATGGATTACAAGAATGTATAAAGATGAAATTTATGAGTGTTTATAATAATATGATAATACTCATTATTGTTTATAGAGAATAGAAATAAGAGCGTAATAATGTGAGTCATCAATAATAAAGAAAGCTTATAAAGTACGATTTAGTTGATGAAGAATATTTGTGATTATATCCGAAAATAGCTTTATTTTAATTAAGTTTAATGTAGTTGTTTCAAGTGTAAATTGATTAAAATTTGATTATTAATATCTTCGAAGTGATTTGACTCTCTTAGAAAATAGTTTTAACACACTTAAAATAGTCTTGACGATATTCGATAGTTTTATATTTAAATAATATTCTCTTTCAAAATAAAAATAAATAAATAGTTATTGAAACAGACTATTTGAATAAATGTAATTAAGAGAAAGCAATTTTCAAGTAAACTTACAAATGTGATTCATCAACAGTATATTAGTTAAAGAGTTAAGTATTTCTAATGAACATTATATAAATTCTTTTCTATTCTGTCTTTTTTTGTAAAATAAAATGAATGGCAGATAACTATTTATTTAAGCCTGGAAAGTAAAATGAAGATGTTCTTTATGTCATTGATTATATTAAATCGTGAGAATGAGCATGACAGAATATTAGAGAGTTTGGTTAGTCACGCACATGTATTAGAGTAATGTCTATGAATCTACTGAGGAAAACACACAAAAAAATTTTTATAAGTTCTTTTTTACTGCGTTAATGTTATCTTGAACCATTTTAACATTCGGATGTGTAGATGAGAAGGATTTTTGAAATATACCAAGTGCATCTTTTAAGTATTCAATAGCTTTTGAATAATCGCGCTTGGCGCTATATACTAGTCCGATGTTATTGTAGGACATGCCAAAGTCAGGATGGCCGTCAGGGAGAGATATTTTTCGTATTTTAAGCGCTGCTTCATAGTATTCAAGTGCTTTGGAATAGTTACCCATTTTCTCATACACTCCACCAATGTTGTTGTAGGAAGTAGCTAATGATGGATGATTTTCAGGAAGAGATTTTTTGAGGATTGTAAGTACTTTGTCAAAAGCTTCAATTGCATGAGGATAGTCACTATTAGCGCTGCATAGTAGTCCAATGTTATTGTAGGATTGAGCGAAGTCGGGATGATCGTCTGGAAGAGATAATATTCGTATTTTTAGGGCTTTAGCATAATATTCATGAGCTTTGGAAAAGTCATCCATGATTTTATATAGCAATCCAATGTTGTTGTAGGAAATAGCCAAATCAGGATGATTGTCTGGAAGAACTTTTCTTGATATTTCAAGATCTTTCTGATAATATTCCAATGCTTTTGAGTAGTCTGCCATATTCTTATACACACTACCGATGTTGTTGTAGCAAGTAGCTAACGCAAGAGGATTTTCTGGAAGAATTTTTTTCGTTATTTCTAAATCTTTCTGATAATACTTCAATGCTTTTGAATAGTCCCCCATGTTCTTATACACACCACCAATATTATTGTAGGAAGTAGCTAATGATGCATCATTTTCAGGAAGAATTTTTTGTTTGATTTCTAAAGATTTTTCGTAAAAGGAAATTGCTTGATCATATTGTCCTTTATCATCTTTGAGATATCCAAGTTGATTATAGAAATTTGCTTTCTCATTGTCCTTAGTCGTTTGTTCTAACAGTGCAGTATACAATTCTTCGGCCTTGTCGAATTGACCTATCTTGGCCAGCAAATGACCCAATCGTATCCAACCGGTTCCACTTCCAGTTTCTTCTCGTATAACATTAGTTAGATGGCACAGTTGTTGATCGTTATCGGACGTCAATTTCAATTTAACGTGATAGAGTAGATGATCATTATCAAGTTTTTGTATATCGATAATTCGAAAGACAGTATGTAAGGAGAAGAGTATTTCCGTCTCTTCAGTAAAAAAACTCATATCCTTGATGAAGGCAAAAGGACTAGTAGAAATATTCGGATTAATGATCATTTCAAAAAGAATGCCAACCGCATCCTGATTTGTTGAGTTGTTACGAGCAAAATTTAAGGATGTATCACGAGTCGTACTGGTAGATAAAAAACTATTGAAAGATATAAGTCCACCTTTACTTTGCAACAGTTTATTTAAGTGTTTTATTGTTAATCCTTGACCTCGATATACTGTAAATTCTTGGCCATGATGGTGACTAGTTTGTTTTTGGTGTAGTTCTTGAATTTGACGGTGTATATCACATAAAAAGAAACCCATACGAATAGTAATATCACCATCAAGAGTTCTTAATGCTTTATTAAGCATTTTGTAGGTGAAACATTCGCGTGTATACCACCATATGGCCTTTGATGATTTATAGGTATCGGCAAATTCGTTGATGATTTTAATTTCTTTACTGTTGTTCTGATATATCTTTCGACAGAATGAAGCGAGATCCTTGACAGCTTGTTGGCTGTGTTCCATGTCAAGAAGTATTTCCTTGAAGATCTGTGAGTACATGAAGTTCGGTCCTAACTGATTTAGATTTTGAGCTGAATCTGCTTCATATGGGCTGATAATAGTAATGTCTAGATCGTCCGATGAGACATCTGAGCTTAGACTTAACGGGTCTGTTTCATTTTCTAAAAAAAAAAGAAAGTGCTCGCAATCAACGTTAAATCCTCAATAAAACTACGTCTTTTTTTCGGTCAAGGAGAGGGGTTTTTAGTGAAAAATGATAACCTACCGTTTAATGAGAAGTATTTCCAATAGTAAATAAGAAAAGTACATTTTCCAAGCCAATAAATTGTTAGATAATCGAATAATGTTTGAAAAACATGTTCAAGACAGGATAGAAATGCATAAATAACCCAATATTTCAATAGTTGTTTTTTCTCAAATGTTCCTGGCGATTGCATAACTTTGAACCTGAAATAAAACAGAAGTGGCAGTTAGTTTCTAATCATCAAAATTAAATATTAATCGATGTAAAGAACACTAATTCATCTAAGATATCTATTCACACAAAAGAGTCGTAAATTAAATAAAACTCACGATGCATATGCTGGATAGATAACTCCAATAATGTTGCAAACAAAATCATTGGCCCAACCGCACACGAGATAAATGGAAAGAACAATACACATACCTAAAACATGTCTGAAAGAATTAAATGAATATTTAAATAATGAATTCTACTCAGAATTATAAGATAGGGCTTGACACCAATCTTCATTTCAATTAAACTTAAAGCGGAACGAATTGGACTCTTGTTCACGTATGCATTGATGCCATCTTCGATTTTCATAAATTGATTCCTGATTGTGTCGACCATTTGAAAAAAAAACTATTTAACAAAAGATAATTACAAATGTGTATTTATGAAGAATTCGAACACTAAAGAAACTGATCAGTTTTCTATCTTTTTATAGTGTCGGTTCGATTTAGGAATAGATGGCATGATTATTTATGGCTTAATCCGGCTTCCATCGATATGTATAGAACACATATTTGAATTTTTTTACTTTGAATTTCTTACGACCAATGCTGTTTCGTTCGAAGTATTTGCTTCTTTCTTTTTGCAATAATGCAATGCTTTTGGCTTCATTTTTGTGTGTTTCATCGTTTTCTTTTTATTTCGTTTCAAATTTTTTTCGAATACACACTCAATGGTGAAGAACTGTGCATAGCAACAACAGAGTATTCATTCACAGAATAAATAAAGAATCATAACAAACAAGCAACAGAATTGCTATTTCTTTCATAAAATTCATATTTGATATAATTAGAGAAGATGGATATTGTTTATAAATATACAAGACCTAATTTCGAACCGAATGAATAAAGTTCGATCGTTTTGTTAATTAGAATTAAATTAATATAATATTCAGTTTTAAATAGAGTGCTTATCGAAGTATAATCTTAGACATTTTTTATTATTACACAGTCTACTCAGGATAAAAATTGATTGATAGTTTGATTTAATTATGTTGAATATTTTAACTAAATTTTTCGTCAGTGTGTAGTGACATCATAATCGATAATCTTGGATTTACTAACGATTGGTTGTGTTCAGAAGGAACGAACAATTTTCGTTCATTCGCTTCTATTTTTGGGTATTTTTTTTAATGTTTCGTTTCATTTTATATAATATTAAATAAACAATGACTTCATCATCATCAACTGAAACAACAGAAAATGTTCTTGCTATGTATGATCAATCGGATGGTTTTCGAGTCTATAAAAACAAAAATATCGTCTTTTTTGGACATGATACTATGCGATCGCTTTATTGTGATCTTGCTCGATTATTACAAACTGGAAACATGTTAAAAAATAGTTCAATTAAATTCCATCATACTAGACATGATCCATATGTTAGTAAGTATTAATAATTTCAAATAAGAACAATACGAGATCTATATTCAGCATATACTATGTTTAATTTTCTGAGTAGTTTTATGAAGAATATAACATTGTACATATATTTTTTTTTTGAATAGATGAAACTGTACTTAAAAAATTAGATAAATGTATTTCATACGATCGCATTGATTGCCGTCGTTATCATAGTGAAAAATCTTGCAACACATTATATTTGATATTTATTGGTAGTATCATGGATGATAAATGGCCAATAGATCTTGAATGGTTACAACACATCACAGAAGTAAAACAAATTGATTTAGTTGTTACATCATGTGCATATCCTGATCTTTGTGGGTAAGATTTTTACATCAATCGATATTTTAATCTGATAATCTTCGTTTTTTTTGTCTTATAAAATAGCCGTCGATTAGAAAAGAAAAATGAAAAATTTGACGATAAACTGCCATTATTTAGCTCAAAACTGAATTATATTTGTAGAACATTTAAATTGGCGTTCCCACATGCGACAATGATTTGGTTTCCACCATTACCAACAATACGTTTAGATGATGGTATACAAACGGATCAATTCAAGCAACTTGTTAAAACTTGTTTTGATATTGCATGTAATCAACATCATTTTCAATATTTGAAACGTTGTGAAGATTGGATTAATGTTTATAAAATATTATATTTAAAAGATGAATGTTATATGTCAGGAGAAGGTAAACAGTAAAAGTAATAAATATTTGAAAATAATGTATTAGATAATTTATTTTAGCTGTTCGTGAACTTACAACTGAATTAGGTGAATATATGGCTACAAATTGGAAGCGTAATATTGATATTGAAACTGAACCATCATATAAACGTTTTAAAACATAGAACAATTAATTAAAAGTATAAAAAGAAAGTCAAATAAGATTTATTAAATGTAATATATGTTATATTGAATATCTAAAAGAACAAGATTGATATCATTTATAATAAATTAGACTTTTCTAGTATTTGTCAAGTACCTTGATTGCGTAGTTAGATTAATATTTTCTATATGATATAAAGAAATAGCAAAAAGTATAAATTCATCGCTATTGACATTCTTGATATCTAACACATCTATTTACTGATTTTATTAACAATGAATTAAGTATTCATGAATTTTATTATGGGCGTGGGTATGAAACTAGATTGATCATAACATTCACACCCAAAATTCAGAGTTCTTAGAATAATCTACTTAGTTTAATAACTATGAAGTAATTCAATAACTTGCATTAGTGATCTAAATTTCGGCGATTTTTAATATATCACACCATTTCTTTTTGATTCGTAAAAACTCTTCCTAGAAATTTCTTTGTTAATAACACACGTCAGAACTTAAGCAAGAATTTTTTCTTTTGTTGGAAATCAATCTTTTTCATCGTCATCTTACAACATTCGACAAAAAGTATGGTGCAGTTATTTTTTCTTGTTCTATGACATGCTTTCGATTATATATTTCGCCATAAAAAGTCTGTAAATATAATATTTTTATAATGATGCAACCTTTCTGTTCTGTATGATTCCTTCTTTTTTTTTGTATTTACATCACTTAATATTACCTAGTCAACATCACATAACATTCTTCTATTTAAAGCAAGCTATTTAACGAGATCGACAAATACGTTAGTAGATTAAGAAACAATTAACTTGTAAAATGACAACACCATCAGAAATATTTCTTTGTCCAATTACTCATGAACTTATGGTAGATCCAGTTATTGATCCAAATGGTAATAGTTACGAACGACATGCTTATATATTATATCGAAGAAGTAAACTATGACTTTTAATCCTTTCTCAAAAAACACTACAGATAGTTTTAACACTGCGTTATTTTTTATAAATTTTGTGAGGTCATCAATAAACTCACTCAAGGACATCTTTCTTAAGAAATAAATATAGAACACAGTGGTAACATCAAATGCGCTCGTTTTTCATGATATTTCCACCGAGATAAATTCATCTTGAAGAATCTATTTGATTACGGATGACGACAAATATTATTAATACATGGTTTCTTGGATTCTTTTGAATTAAATATTATAATACATGACATACGAAGATGTTGTTATTCACGAGAGATACATCCTGTCATCTTTGCTTGTCAAATGAATAAGTATTTCTAATGATATCAACTGTGATGCACATTAAATAATCAGTTATATTCTAGTTCATTCATTCGTTCGTTCTTTCTAATTATGAATAGAAAAAAAAAGTGTCAAAATATTTAAAAAGGAATCTTTTCTCATTTATTAACATACATTTTTCTGAGATGAGCGCATCTACTTCGGCAGACACTCAATTTATCGCTGAATTGGTCCTTATTGGACAACAGCTCACACGTTATATCCTTCTGGTTATGATCATTCTCAGTTTATTTGGCAATATACTGAATATTCTCATTTTTTGTCAACCTAAACTGAGTTCTAACACATGCACTATCTATCTTCTGGCTGCCTCTTGTTTCAATCTAGTATGGACGGTTGCTGCAGTTTTTTCTCGATTTCTTTCAACATACAATTTGGATTTTTCTGCTCAAATAAGTGGTCTCTGCAAAGTTCGTCATTTTATATTCTTCAGTTTTTCAAGTGTCTCAGTCTGGATGATGGCTCTGGCTACTTTTGATCGATTTCTAATCAGTAGTCCATTGGTTAAATATCGGCAATTCAGTTCTTTTCGCAATGCTTATCGAATGATCGGAATTATCATGCTTATCTTATGTGTCAACTATGCGAATCTATTTTATTGTGCCAATATCAAAGGAAAACCTCCATCATCATCATGCACGTCGATCACGTCACAAGCATGTGGTTTCTACAACGAATTATCTCGAATAATGACGGTTGCAATCATTCCTGGATTGATAATATTTATATTTGGTCTCGGTACTATTCGACATTTGAAGAAACTTCGAACTGCTGTTGGAACAACAACAACAGATCGGACGCAATCACAATTTCGAATGCGAAAAACAGATCGAGAACTCATGCGGGTAATAAATATTAAACAATTATTTCATTTTATTTCTTTTCTTTATTTATAGATGTTAATAGGACAGATAGTTCTAATTTTCATCTCGTGGATTCCTCATGCTGCAGAACGCATCTATGTTGTCATCACTTTGAACGAAGTTAAAACTCCACTTCGAACAACTCAAGACAATTTATGGGATCAAATAATGTGGATCGAAACAACCTTTGATAGTTCACTGTCGTTCTATGTTTATCTGTTCACAGGTGGAATTCTTTTTCGACAGACACTCCGAAAAATGTTTCGATGTGCAACAACGACATCCAGAACAACAGCACTCAACGACATGTCACTTACGCAAGCTCAAACAATAAATTGATGCTTGATTTTTTGAGAAACAAATCTGTAATCAAACCAAATTATTATCTAAATAAAATATTAGGCGTAATACGATCCTTAAGATTCTATGAAAAATTCAAGTTTTCAGGAAGCTCGCATACGCATACAAGTGACAAGGAATACACTTCCTAGTTCATTGGTGAATTTGGTAAAAAAATTAATTTTCAGGGATGGGTGTGGGTGTATTATAGTCTCTTGTTCTTTTGCATATACACCCACACACACACACACACCCTCAAGATTTATTCAACCGTCATTCTTTTTTGTGTATCTACACTATTATGTTCACATTTATTGTGTGACAAAATAATCATTTTTTATTCGTTGAGAATTGTGAAATTCTTAACGAAAATCTTAGTAATCAAGGAAGAATAATGAGAGTATAAATAAGGGTATTGTTTCTCTCCAAGTCTCCTCACATACATTTTCATATTTTCTTATTGAAAATCAATAAAAAGTCTGAATTTAAATTTATTTAATAAAAAATATCTGTATCAAAAACAAATGAGTAGTTCATCGCTTTTTAACAATAGTAATTTGATCAAGTATAGCCATATCAGATACTCGATAATAAGTAAATGTAGCATGACTAGGATCAGTAATTGTTAGAAAACCAAATCCCGGATCAGTTGAAAGAAAACAAGAATCATTCGATCTTTGAGATAATTTATCGCTACCTTCAGGACTACCAATAGCACCATTGATCAAATAAACTGGACCAATTGGATTGACATATTGTGTTGTATTAACTACACCTACAAAAATATCAAACAAAGAAACATATTTTTAAATTACATGTTTTTTTTAATAGAAACATACCATTAAGACAAATTCGTTCATACCAATGTACATGACCAGCAAGATAAAGATCAACATTATATTGTATTAAAAGTGATTCAAAAGCTGCTTTACATGAAGGACAATTAATAATTCCATCTTCTTTTATATCAGCCTTCGAGATTGATCCTTTCCATGCTCGATGACATTGAACAATAACCCATGGAGTTATAGTACGGTTTACCTTCGATAAATCATTTTTTAACCAATTAACTTGAGTTGTTGTATCAAGAAGATTACCTGATGGTGCCAATGGAAAATCTGATTCACATGAAATTGATATAACATGTACAAAACCATAATCAAATGAATACCATGAATTTAAATAACCACCTGATTGTTTACTTGGCATATTAAATCGATGACTATAAGGAATTTGATTTTTTTTTGATGATGAACATAATTGATTTAACACAGGAATTTCTGTACAATTTACTTCATGATTACCAACAGCTGTCATATAAAAGCGTGTACTCGTTATATTCGTCATCATAGATTGACAATAATTAAATGCTGCTTCATATGTAAGAAATAAATCTTCGGGAGAATCATCTGCATAACATATATCACCATGATGTAAGAAGAAATCAGTTACTGGTAACATTTTTTGTAAAGCTCCTAATGCACGTTCAAATAGACATTTACCATTAAGGATATCTTCTACTATACCATCAACACCAAAATCACCATAAGTTATTATATTAATTGCTCGACTTCGACTACCATATATTGGAGCTGATGTAAATGAAAAAATATTTGATGCTGAAACATAATTTGATTGTTTTATTTGATAATAATAAACTGTAGATGGTTGAAGATTTGTTAATTCTACACTATAAAACCAAGAAGTTTTCAAAATATAGTTTGTATCATAAACACTTGAATTTCCATTAATTGATGTTAAGTTTAAATTTGTTTTTGATAAACCATAAATAACAGTTGGAGTTGGATTTGGATTTGAAGTTGTTAATGGACAACTAAAGGATTGCCAACCAACACTAACACCTTGATTACCAGCAAATGCCAAGCGAATTTGATCGGGAACAAGTTTTGCGAGACAAATAGTCGAATCGAGAGATTTTATTAAAGACATTAAAATAAATACACAAATGAGATGCATCGTTTTCATAGCCATTTGCAAGTTAGTTTGTTTAACGATTAATATTTCTTTTCTATGTAATTATGCGTATATATATATATTAGCATATAAACTTCTATGAGTAATCGAAGTCAGTGTAGGTGTAAAGCATGAGATGCGTGGTATAAGCAGAAAAAGCGTAGAACATAATCAATATGTATATATAAAAAAAATATATGAATAATTTTGTTCTGTTAAATCATATAATCATACTATGTAATCAAATAGTTTGTTTGATGACTAATGACAGGTATAGTAAACATGATAAAACGTTGAATATTGTATAAAATTAGTCATATTGATTTTGTCATATATGACGAAAGAAAAAAGGAAAGAAAAGAAAATTTTATGGTAATACTTATTTTCTGGTAAAAAAAGCGTTTTTTTTCTAAAAGATATTCAAAGTAACTATAGATGAAAAAGTTTTATTCTTAAATCAAAAGAAAAGTATTAGCGAAAATAATGCGATAAATTTGTTATTGATCTGGATAGATTTATCACTTTGACAATGTATGGGACGAATAGAATATCTTATCAGTTCATTGAATCATCAATAAATGTTCTTCAAATGAAAAATATGTTTATTAAAACTTTTAAAGTCCGATATTCTGTGATTTTCAATGGTTGAGAAAACATTATTTTATATGACATTAAAGTACATTCATTAGTATTTATTGATTTTTGATCGTATGAAAGGCAACAAACTTATTTCACGTCATTTATTATTACAGTTTATTTACTTAAGGAAACAAAATCTATATAATTAGAAAGTAAAAATGTAACACACAGCGAAGAATAGCAAACAAAAAAGAACATTCACTTCTTCTTGTACTATTTTTATTATGACCTTTTGCTTCTTGTAACTGAACGTACCTTTCCAAACTTTTGATCAATGTGAATTTTTTTGCTTCCTATTAATAAGTTTCTATAGAAACGTACTTTCTTCGTACTTTTTTCTTGACATCAGCGGTTTTTATTTGTGACGACAAAATTCTATATAAACGCTCACGTTCTACTGATTTATTATTCATTGGCATCTTTCCATCAGTCTTTTCAAAAAGAATAGTTTTCTTATAATCTATAGTGCCATGTGTGAATTATATTTATTATTATAGATTTTCTCAAAAAAAATACAAAACAATTATATAAGATATGTCCAATAACAAAGGTGTCGAAGTACTCAAAGGAGCATGGGATCAAGTAAGCTTTGTATTACTTCTCTGGCATGGATCTAATTTTTCTTTTTCTTTAGGTAAACGATGAAAATATGGATGAATTTTTAAAAGAACTTGGCATTGGAATGGTTAAACGTATGGCAGTTAAAAGCGTCAAGCCTCGTCTTGTTATTAGCGAAAATGGTGGTAAATGGACAATTCGATCCGAAAGCACACTTAAAACGAAAACGATTGAATTTACACCTGATGTTGAATTTGACGAAACAACAGCTGATGGACGTGAAGTTAAAGTTTGTCTATAAACTTATCGTTTTTTACCTTTCTTTATGTTTTCTGCTTCACATTTTTAGACAATCGTTCGAGTTAAAGGAAATACATTGGAACATATAATACGAGGAAAGGATGGAAAAGAATGTATAGTTGTTCGTTACATAAATGATCGAGATCAGCAACAAATTGTAAGTTAAATTTTATTTTATTTTTTTATTTTACACATAGTTTTCTTGACAGGATTTGAAATGCGGTTCGGTACAAGCCCATCGTTGGTTCAAACGTGTCGAATAATCAACGACATTGATAAAACTATTTTATCCTATTCGTGTATTTTTGAACATTCAAGATTCAGATTTCAATGCTTAATTCTTTTTTATGTTTGATCTGTGATATGTAAATCATTTTTCTATATTATTGTTATTTATATCGAAGAAATATCCGTTGACAGTTTCTTACAGTTCTTTAAGGCCAACAGCAAGTTTGTTTGCTCATAAATGTATCTCTCCAATTCGTGATTTAATTTGAGAAATAGAGAGTAGCGTTGTGGGTGAGGGCGAGAAAGACATTACTGTGTCTTCAAACCTACATCCTTCAAGATACTTCGTCGATGTCTTTTAGTAATGAAACTTGAACAAACAGTTTTAATATTCCATTATATAGTAATTACTTCAAAAACATGACTGATAAGAAGTAAACTGTGCGAAAAAAGAACCGATCAATTGATGAAATTTTGCAATGACTGTTTATTTTTGACTCGTATTTGTGTATTTCATGTCTTTTATACATTACTTTTGAAGTTTTTAGACTTCACCTATCTTTTCTTCCAGTTGTATACACTTCCTTGTCATTTATTTACATTTGTATGTTTCAGACTTATCATATCATTGACTTTTTTTAACAGTAGAATTATTTAGTAAGTCTCTACTTTTATTAGAAAATAGAGAATAGAAGAATAAAATTTATTAACTTTAATAATTATATATAAAAAGATTATTATCAAACAACTGATTATTTGTTCTTTTAATTGATTTAAAAAAATATTATTATCATTATTATAGATATTTAACTTCAACGACTTATCTTTTATCAGAAAAGTTTTTCTCGACAAATTTTTTGTTTATAAAATATTAACAATCGTTTATTGAGAACAGAAGAATTTGTATCTCATATCGATTGTTTAATTTCTGATTATGATGATAAAAGTTGAATATTATTACTTTTAATTCAATTTGATTCATCAATATTTCCATTTGACCGTGCATTTAGAAAAGGTGAACGTATTAAGCCATCAAAAATATTATTAGGAGTTATCTAAACATTTCCTGATCTACTTGGATAATATCCATTTATAACTAACTTGATCATTATAAGGTAATCCATTAAGAATTGCTAATCCTGAATAGATCATACCTTGATTACTATAGACATTTGCTAAAAGAAAAAGAAAATTTAATAGGATTATTTTAAAAAACCTATACGAACGATAATAATTAGGTTAAAATGAATTTCATAGTTGATTAAATAAATTAAAAGCAATACCACTTTCTGGATATGCTATATAAGTATGCATATTATAATATCCACTTGCTGAAAATATATTTCTATCTGGTCATATTCCACGACGTTTGCGACAAGATCGATTTTCAATTTCTATAAAAAAAAGAAATTTCATATTTTAATTAAAATTTCTGTTAAAAATAACAGAAATAAATACGAGTTATTCAGAGAATTAATAATAATAATAATATTCGTTTTAAACATCATTAATCTTTTTTATTTAGTGATGTAGACGATTCAATATTATTACTGATAATTTCTTTTTCTCTCGTTTTTTTTTCAATATAGAAATCGTTGCTGGTTTTGTTGTTTCTTTCTGTAATATGTATATACTAGCGGAGGTACCCGCTGCAAAACCCAGAACGATGGTTCCTGAAGCAGGATTCCATGAATTTCCGGCAAAATCCATGAAGAAACTCGCGATCTCTGAGTGGAACCCGTCCGAAAAAAAAACAGGAATCCGATGGAGAAGTGAGATATCTGTATCCGGCTGTCGGTTTTGACATTTTCTTGTCGGTTTCGGCCCAACCCAGGTAAATCTGTTCAACGGGATTACTGCTTCCATGAAATCTCCGGAATACCACGGAACCGTTCGTTTCCGTGCCGGATTGTTCGACCTGAGATTCATTTTAGTTGTATTAGAAGATATAAAAAAATTGACGAATATGAACGTCGTTATTGATTCTAATAATGAATTATTTCACATTGAACAGTAAGTGAGATTATTCAAATAGATAAATATTAATTAGATATTTTCTTATTAGAGAATCAACACTAACATTGGCATTGAATAAAGTTATTAATAATCTTCAAAATAATTCGACACAAGGTACAGTATACATTGAAAAACAATTAATTGTCATGTTTATATATTTTTAATGTTAGGGAAACCTTCGATATTTACAACAACAATTAAAATCTTGCACGATTTCAGTCCGAAACAAATCTTTGCTAAGTATTATTGTTTAAAACGAGAACTTGAATATTTATTTATGTTCACGGTCTTTGTTTTTGATCATTAGCTAGTAAGATTACAGGAAATCGTAAAAAACGATGAAATTAACGAAGTTCAGCAAAAAAATATTGGCATTCATTTTCTTCGTCAAACATATATATTTACGAAAACATGTGTATATATTTTTTTCATTGGATCTATATTTTGTGTAAAATTTAGCACTTGTCTAGCAAATAAATTATGACGAAATTGTTTGAAATGTTTTAATTGATAAAAATGACAGAACATTTATTTGATTATGAAAGATACAGTTTTATATAGATTTAATTAAAATTCTACATAGAAATGATGATATGCGGAAACAGATTGAAAAAATCAATGTTATTTTTCAGGGTGTGAATGTGGGCGAGTGTGGTTGTTGGTGAAGGCGTTCACTGAATACTATACCCAGAGTCACACCTACACCCACACCCTTACATTAACAGCCGCAGCTCGTCGGGCAACAGCTCAACAAAATGGCCAAAAGAGTGTTATTGGCTGCCAAAATCAAAAGAGAATGCTATCGGCAACAAATTATATTTAGATATATCGAAAAAGAAAATTTGACTAGATTCATTACTGCTGAAGATATTTGTAACATAGATGAATCACCATTAGCACTTTTTAGTGATCAAGCTAAAAAGTGTGTCAATGATATTGATACAGTTAATGAAATAAATGGATGTATCAGCAAAAAGGTAATCTACCACATTCTATTCAACTTATTAAATATCTTCTTCGTAAAAAATTTCTTTCATTTTAGAAATTCTGCACATTAATACTAACTGTTTTGGTGAAACTCAGCGAACGACACCTGTTTTATTCTTCAAAGGAAAAGGTCATATTAGTGCTGATGAACGTCAACAATACTTAAAGGGTATACACATTATACTTTCACCAAAAGCAGTTATCAATATGCCATCAATGAATACATATATTACAAAATGGTGGAAAATGGTAAGAGAACATGGCTTAAGTTCAGAAAGAAAAAGAAAATATTTTCTACTATAATACAGTCGTAGCATGGTTTTTCATCAGAATAGAATAAAAAATATAATTATCGCCTTAAAGCTCCATAAATATCTGACGAGTTAGTCTTTCACATGAATATTATTTATTTTATAGATCCATGATGATTATCCAAAACTGTTCATTACTGATTCAGCTAATTCTCATTTAAAACCAGAAAGAATTCAAAAATTACGAAAATAAAAGGTTGTTGTATCTGTTATACCCAAAGGATGCACACAATATTTACAAGTTCTTGATACATCTGTTTTTAGTGTATTTAAAAACCACTATCAAGCAGCTTTTGATGAATATATTGATCGTTATCGTTCATGCAGTAAAGTGAAATTGTCAGCTAGAGAACAACAAATTATATGTGCTCGTTTAACTTGTGCAGCATGACTTCGTACATAAAAAAATGTTGACTTTGAACGTACTTTCTTGGATATTGGCATTACATGGGTCGATGAATCTCCTATTACTGTTCGATCTTTACCTGGTTTTGTTTTTGATCCATCAACTGTATCTTCTTCGATTAATAGTATTGATGATACTGAACAAGAATTTAATATAAGACTGATGACTCAAAAAGGAAAAATTCGCAAGTATTAGGTGTCAACAGCAATAACAAAATGAAACAGCTTAGTCTTGATCAATTTAATAAAAAGTGGAATTTTAATTGTAGTTCATTTGTTGGTTTTGTCTTTTTGTACTTTTTATTCTATATATGAAATATAATCATGGTGAACTAATTCCACATAGTCTTTATAAAATGTATGAAGACTATCTTATCTTTTTATGCACAGGAATTTATATTAGAATATTAATTATAACAGAAGGTCTTCATAATACAACAACCGCATTAAAAGTTTGTACGCTAAAACATAATAGAAGACCCCTACCCTTTTGATGTTAGAGGGGGGGGGGGGGGGGGGGCGCTTCGTAATAATATGCAAAGTACCACGAGCCCAATGCATTTCATCGGATTATTCAATCTACCTGCACGCATTAGCACAACAGACTATTATTTAAGTCTTCTTTGAGACGCGAAGTTTTATTCCTTTAATTTTCCGAGAGTAATATATAAAAAATTGCAAATAGTCGCATAGTTTTGAAACCTGTCTGAGATCTTCTTCTTCAGTTTTTTTCTATTCCAACCCAATTTAACTCCCACTTTCTGACTGCCATCTTCGCCAAAGTTTGGGTGTGGTATTCGTATATGCCACCATCCGTCACCACAAGGTAAACATCGAAGCCAGACTTGCTCTCTGCAAAGATTGATGTCATTCCAGTGACTAACCAGTGATCCGTTTTACCACCGAGACTTGTAAAGTAGGCGGGCACAGCTTGGAACTGACAGTGAGACGTGTCAACGTGAATGGCGACAGTAAAAGGACTGCCAATATAAGGTTGCCACTGCGTGTAATTGGTTCGACCTTGACAGAGCTTAGGTTGCCTTGCGAGGATGTCTTTCTGGAGTTGGTTATTTTTCTCCTCGAGTTCGTTCAGCTTTGTTACCTGCATTTCCGAAGTTTCTTTCTGCTGATTGACCTTTTGATTCAGGTTATCGAGCTGTACTTCCTGTGCTTGCGTTGTCTGTTTGAGTTCGTTGATTGCCTTCCACAAGTTTCCTTGATCAGATGCCCAGCCAAAGTAATCAAGCCAGGTATCTCCGATACCCTGTGTGATGCTGAGCGTTGCGGCTCCATGCCAAGTGGCGATAAAATACAAAGTAAAGTGTACGAGAAAGAGATACATTTTTGAGAGTGTGGAATGAATAGTGATAATTGTTTTTAAATACTTTCTAATAAAGCAGTCATAGCGTATGTTTGCAGAAGGATTTCTAACGCAAATCATTCGATTTTGTTTCTATATGCTAAGCCTTTAGGTTTCATGTTTCGCGCTTGTTTTTCCGAGAAAATGTGAAGAACCTTGGCGTTTGACACCAGAGAAAAACACAAGCCTTTTGCGAGTTAGGGTGGGTATGGGTGAGTGGCTGTCGATGTCGTGTAGGTGGGTTTGGATGTTGATGTGGGCGTTGGATAAATAGAATACCCACACCTACATCCCACCCTCAAGATGATAGGGTGTTGTGTGGATGTAGGTGTGGGCATTGAATGAATAAAATACCACACCCTAATCTGTACTCACACCCACACCCAGCCTCTGTCGCTAAGAGTTTGTTTTTTTTCTGACGCCAAACCTCAAGATTCTTCACGTTTTCTTAGAATAACAAGCATCCTCATGAAACTTAAAAGCTTAGCATATCGAAACAAAATCGAATGATATGTGTCAGAAATCCTTCTGCAAACATACACTATGACTGTTTTATTGAAAAGTATTTAAGAACAATTATCGCCACTTAGTCCACACTCTCAAAAATGTATCTCTTTCTCACACACTTTACTTTGTGTTTTATTGTCATTCTTCCAAAGGTAATCAAATTGACTTCTATTATCATGGAGAATATTTCATGTAGACATTAGAAGTACTTTCATTATATCCTTAAAATCGCGTTAGATATTTATCATTCGAAATAATAACAGTGATATCGTAATTCACGATAAATCAATCTTGAATAAAAATATTTTATTTTATTATATTTTATTTCCAAAGATTAGCAATCAGAAAAAAAGATTATGATTAAGAAATAAGAAATTTATGCGTTTTAGCTACATTTAATGAAAGTTTTGTCATATGTAAAACATTCATGGTAATATTAAATGTCCATTGACTTGTTGATATTAATTCTTGTCCATTCCATAAAATTTTTGTTGGTTGTTTATTTAAACCAAATATTTTAATATCTTCAAATTTAATATCATTACCCATTTGTTGATATTTATAAGTCCATGGTTCAATTGTTAAACGTTGAGATTGATAATTAAATATAAAATAATTATAAATCGTTTGTTCATAAGTGTCAATTGATTCTCCATCATCCCAGAATAAATCTCCACTAGCATATTGATTTTTATCTAAAGCTACAATTAAAAATAATGGTTTCTTACGTGATGCTACTGTATTCATTGCTGATTGTTGATGTGGTATAATATAACCACCACGTAAATATAATGGAATGAAATCAAGTGGTGCTGAAACAGTTAGATGACCAAGTATTGTTTGTTCTTCACCAGTATAATAATCAAACCATCGTTCTGTCGTAGGTAAATAGAGAGATTTATTAATATGATTTTCATAGATAACTGGAGCGATAAGTAATGATGAACCCCATAAAAATTGTTCATCAAGTGACCAACATTCAGAATCTAATGGAAATATATGAACCATTGAACGAACAACAGTTCCACCAGATACATGAACTCGATGAAATAATGTATATAAATATGGAATAAGTGTATATCGTAATTCTACAGCATGACGATTTGATGTTGCAACATTTGTCGAAAAAATACCTGGATCTTGATCAATATAACCAAAACCATTATGATTTCGAAAGAATGGATTAAAAGCACCTAGAATATTTTAATAAAAAAAACGATTATTTATTAAAAATAATTGATTTAACCTAATTGCATCCATCGTTGACACATTTGTTCTGTTGTATTTTGAAAATAACCACAAATATCTGCACCTATATAAGGAATACCAAATAAATTAAATTCTAACATTCCAATAATATTAAATTTAAGATGTGTCCAATCTGCAGTATTATCTCCAAGCCAATGACCACCAAATACACCTGATGATGGAAATGTTGATCGGCTAATAACAACTGATCGTTTATTTTCTGTCATTCGTCCAGCTACTAATGAAGCTACTGTTTCTGACCATCCATATAAACTATGTACATCATAATGATTATAGATATGACCTTGTCCATCTGTTTGTTCACCAATCATACATAAAGTTTTATCAGATATATAATCACCACATATTGCTGTTTTATATGGTGGATTTTCGAAAGGTTCATCATCAATAGGACAATGAAGATTCCATAGTTCTTCTCCATTCCAATTCCATGGTTTATCTTTATTTGTATCAAAATTAGCTGGTTCACTTTAATGATTAAATAAAATTATTAAATGATTGATACAAATAAAACTCACTTCATATCAATCCAAAGACCATCAAATTTAAGTTTTGAATGATAATTAACAATCTGAGATTTCCACCATTCAATTGCTGGTGGATAGAAAAAATCAGGAAACACAGCTTTTCCTGTTTTAAATAAACATATTTTATTTATTATTAGTAAAACTGAATATAGAATCTAGTTGGTAAATAATAACTAACCGTCAGGCCATACATGACCAAGCATATTTCTATTATTTGTTTCATTAAATTGAAGATTTCGATGTATAGGCCATTTAATCCAAATATTAGCTTTTTCTCCTTCAGTATAAGTCGAATAGTTTTTTTCTTGAGAATCAATTGCTGGATCAAGAATTGTAATAAATTTCATTCCATTATCATGTAACCAATCGATATATTCAGGTAAACCATCAAAATCAATTGGATGCCAAGTAAAATCAAGTCGTTTATAAAAATAATCAATATCACCATACCTAATAAAAATAAAAAAAATAATTATTAAAACGAATATTTCATATAACTTACATGACATCAAGAGGAATATTTGCATCAAGTGTTCTCGTCATTGCTGCTTTCATATTATTCAATGTATTATAACCATAACGTGATAGTTGAAATCCAAGTGCCCAATAAGGTGGCATATATGGTTTACCAATAACTGATTGATATTGTTGAATAACGTTTTCTGGATTTGGTCCTGCAAAAAAGATAATATCTAAAATACCACCAATTGTTCGATAAGTAAGCATAGCTTGATCATCATCAAATTCATCAAATTTATAATCTTGTGCATTTGAATTGAAAATAAATATACCAAAAGCTTGTCCATCTGGTTCAACAACCATGTAGAATGGATGAGCACCATATAGATTTTCATTTACTCCCGATGGCCATTGATCTCTACTAAACATACCATAACGATATGATTCTTTTAATGTATGACGAAATGAACGATGAGTATTCTCACCAAAACCTATATAAAAATCGTTAATTGAAATATATATATATATTTTTACAAGATTTACCATAAATATTTCTCGATGGAATTGTTGTTATTATTTGAATAAATTTATCATCATAAATAAAACTATTAGCAAAAAATGATGTATCAAATAATATTGATTGTGTATTAGTTCGTTGTATTCGAAATCCAACTTGATTATTCAAAGTTTTTGTTAATTGAAATTTAATTTTCGATGAAGATGAAATTGATGGATTCCATTGAATAGGAACTGGAACTTCATATCTTTGAGCATTTGTATCACGTATAGTCATACGTATCATATCAGTACCGGACACACTAATCTGAACATCTAAATTATCAATATCATTATTAAATAAAGAAAAGTCATTAGATGTATCCTTTGATTGTATTTTTGTCATAGATGAGTTAGTTGATAGACGAATGAGTTTATATTGTGTAATCGCATTTGAAATTTGATTACTTTCTCCCATTAGATCATATCCTCCTTTTTCTAATGGAATGAAACAAGTAGAGACATTTGAGTCCCATGTACATCCGCGAGCCAAACAAGATTCATTAGTTATATTCAAAGTTCGATTTATTGAAACATCAAACATACAGAAAGATTTGTATTCATCAATATCTGGCAAACAATTAATTCGATGTTTAGTATCATTTTTAATTTTATCAGGTATTTCGACAATTATTATTTCTGGATCTTCTTTTACCATTTTATCATTTCTATTTATTTGAGTTTGATGTTGCATTGTTAAATCGAATTCTTCATGATTATATGCTCGTCCATTAACATAGACGATGCAAAAAAATCCAACGAGAGAAAATAATAAAATAATACGATGCATGTTGTTAATTCAATTGCTCAAAACATTTGAACTAGAAGAAAGTATAATAATATAAATATATCATATAGCAAAATCTTTATCATATCTAAATTTATATCAATAATCCTTCATTTTTTCTTTGTAAAGACTACTATGATCTCAGTCCTATTTCGACCTATACTGATAGAAAAACAAAATCAGAAACTTATATAACGTCAGTCTAGATTTATCGAAAGAATATATATACTATTCGATGAATAGAAAGTCAATTTTGTTATCTTTCGAATGATGACTGATAAGTTAAGCTGAAAATTTATATTGCGAAAAATAATCGTGTTGATAATCAAAAATGAAAAGCTGTAAATAGAAAAAAAAGACTACATTTATTACTTAACGATACAACTGAAAATAATAATAAACCAATTGAATACTACACGGATTTATTGCTTTGACAAATGTTCTTTTATCTAAAGAATTTCGTGTACATGAAAGTGAAAGATGGATATAAAAGTCTCACACAAGAAGAAGAAAAAAGAAATTTTTCGACGTCGGAAGTACAGAGAAATACCATAAATAGTACTACTATTTGAAAAATATTTAAAATTCAGCTATTTAGGTTTATATTTTTACTATAAATAGAAAGTCATATCGAACATGTTTGCTAAGCATTAAGTCCGAGTCTACATTCTAATGCCAATAATTCAACTTGATCATAATCCATTAACTTAAAACTTCCAGACATGAGTTTAACTGTTTGTATCCATCCATACTTCTGTCACTTGTCTCTTTGCTTCTCTTCCATTCCTTTTCCTCTTTTCTCTCAGTTTTTATAGTTCTATTTATGATAAAAATATGAGCATAAATGGTTGGAATCTATGTAGTTTTCATTTAGTAGCGCCACTATTTTTGACTACTATAAATAAAGTAATATGAAAGAAAAAAATTGAGTTATATCTGTTGTTTTTAGTTTTTGATATATTGTCAATTCTGAAAGACTCTCTCTTAATATTATTCATATCTGGTTGTCTACGTACTGTTTCTTGTGAGAATCAAAAAGTACATCAGATTTCTTATCATCATTTTAGAGTAAACTCGCTCATACTTTTTATATCAAATAAACTCAAAGATTTTTCTAATGTTTTCTATTTTTTGAAAGTAGCTAATGTATCTCATGATAAACGATAACAACTCTAACAAACATTAATATCGAGAAAAGTACTTTGAAAACTTGTTTTTATCAGGTATTCTTTCTCGTGTTAAATGATGATAAAAGCTTTTTTGATCTGAAATAAAAATAGAAATTGTTTTTAAATACTTGAATGAAATAGATTCTATAATGTTGTTTCATTCAATGATTAAATGTATTTGGAAAGAAAAAAAAAGGTTTTTATCTCATCAGTATATAATTCAGAGGAACATTTCTTTTTCATTCACATTAATTTCATATCATCAGTTAAAGAAGATCGTAATAATGTATACAAATTATATTCTATTTCTAATAAATATTCATATCTTATATGCCGACGATACATCAGTAACTCACTTGTATGGAAGTGGTACTGATTCTATTCCAGCTACCCCTATTGAATTACGTGGTATTTATTCATCGATTGCTTCTACTTTTCGTTGTGATCTATTATGTCATCAAGATCCACAATGTCGTACATTTGTCTTTGATTTACCTATTTGTAAATTATATGAAGGTTCTTCAAATACTGGTTTGATTGTTAATTCATCTTCTACTGGTCGTATCGTTGGTAGAATAATTTATCACAACATTAATTTATCATCGACTTACAATCAATCTTGTAATCATTGTTATTCTGATCGATATCTTGTATGCAGAAATAACACATGCCAATGTCCTCTAAGTACTTTCTGGGATAATAAAAGTAAGTGTATCAATCAATTGTTTGTTGATTCAAAATCACCATGTCAAAATGATAATTGGTGTCGTCAAGATATGAATCTTACTTGTCAATGTGGTAAATATCAATGTCCAGTGACAACTTATTGGATTAATAAAACCTGTGCACCACAATTATTCGCTGGAGCATCTTGCAATACAAGTAACCAGTGTCGTAATGATCTCAATCTAGTTTGCTCAAGAATCATCAAAACATGTATACGTATGTTTATCTTCCAAAATAGTTGATTTCCACTGAGAAAACACTTTTTGTACATAATTTACACATCATATAGAAATAGATTTTGATGACTGTGCATTTGTTAATTCTGAATAACTTCATATAGGTTAATCGTTTTCTTTTATATTCAGTGATACCGATTGTACAAATGGATGTTATTAATGGAACTCTTCCTGGTAACTTCTCACAACTTGGAATTCAACTTATTAGTACTGGTTCTGAATGGTTCCGTGCTTTCGATAATAATACTTACAGCTATTGGAATGCAAATAGTTATGATGTATCAGATTATCTGCTTGTCACATTCAATGATACATATCTACTACATTCTCCACAATTAACAGTATACGGTGATGGGTGGCATGATCCAGAAGCAATAGATGTTTACTTAGATAAAGAAGCGACATATTCAGGTCAATCATTCGCGTATCCAGTGATTACAAATCTAAATTATCTCGCTTTTGCACCAAATCAATTCAATAATTCAATCAAACCGTTAGCAGCTAAAGAAGTCATGATCAATTTTGAACGACTCAGTATTAATCAAATCTGGCTATTTGAACTGTCATTCTTTGGAGGCTTATATTAATTGATATAAAAAAGCTTAATCCAAACTGATTCGAATTATAAAATAAATACCTAATTGTAATATCTCGATTATTTCATTTGATATCCAAATAAATTTATGAATTTATCTTATTCTTCGCAAAGAATTCAGAGAAAACTTTTGGCACAGCAGAGATCATTAAGTTATGGGTATAACATCAACAACTTTTTATGGGTGAATATTTGAATTTTGTATGGAAAAATATAATATTTACAAATAAAGTGAGAAGGTTTTTGTATCTCGAAATAGATACATGACAGACTAATTTGAATTATTTGTTCTGTGAATTTAAAAAATAACTTAGTGATATTTATATTGAGGGTATGGTTGTCAATAAGATTCAACGTATACCTACATTTTATATAGTTAATAATAATGGAAAAGTAAGTGTTATACATAATAGAGCTATGTCGAATTAGTATAAGAATGCCATTTTCCCTACACTTTCGTGAGACTACTCCTATAAATCTTTTGTTAGTAAAATTATTTTATGTGATAAATATTTTTCCTAAAGTGCTTCATTCGATACTCAATAGAATATGTTAAAATGAGATTTCCTTGATTTTTATATCGGTTTATATACTATATCATGAAAATCTCGCTCTATAATTTCTTAGTAAAACCAACTTTTCTCTTGAATAGAACTAGATTTTTGTTTGATATTTTCTGCATAAGGTACACCACTATGAGTCAGAAAAGGATCAAATTTGTTCAAACAAGATCTCTCAAAAAATAATGGCACACAAAACGAAAAAGTATTTTGACAGGCGTTGTTGACAGTTTTCAGTTTATAAAACATTGTCCAAGCCAGAAAATAAAAATATATCCGAAAAGCGCTTGATCAGTTCTACAAATCTAGCTAACAACATAATTTTATCAAGAATTACAATACAGTAAAAAAATAGATCTTCGTCTGGGGGATGATGTTAAAAACGGCGTATTCGATATTGTTTTCACGATTTCTCGTAAACTAAACTAGCTAGAAATCTCACATTTTTAAAAGGGTAGGGGCATCTACGGACGGGTAAAATAAAAAAAATTTATCAAAATTGATTGAGCACAACTCGAGTTATAAGAGTTTTACTATTCGAGAACCGACGGTACAAATGGCGCGCTCTTCACCTATATATTAATAGTAAACAAAGTTTTCCTACGATGTTCTTCATAGTAGAAAATTTGAATATGTATTAAAGTACAATTCTGTATTTTTTCTATCGATCATATTATTTTCAACTTTAAACTTATGAATCAGCTAGTATGATGCTTTTCAAACCTACCAAGCCATCTGTTATTCTTCACATCCCATTTTCACCTTCGAATATAAGAACTTATTACATATTTTTCTCTCAATATCATAAGAGTTTGTAAGTCTAGTCTGAACTCAAATGTATTGATTTCTGTTAAAATCCAATGCTTAATAGGCAGCAACCGAGAAACATGTTTTATTTCTGTTAGATTATTATACAATTGGTTATAAAAAAAATAATGATTATTTTAGAATTAAATATGTTTATTAGATATTTAATAGTAATTATTGACATTAACATTGAATATTTGGATCAAGACGCATAATTTGATTATTAGTACAGTCAGAAAAGTACATAACATAATTGTCAATAATTTTCATAAATGAAACAGCAAAATTTGTTGTTGTAGTAGTAGTAGTATAATTACCAAGTAGGTTTCCTTGTTGATCATATATCAATACTATATTACGCTCTAATGGAAACCAAAATCGATTACATTCATCAATTACCATACTGGTAGAACCTCCTGTATTATTCAATTTAACTAAATTAAGAGCCAATGCTTCATTCCAATTTGTACTAATATTAGTTGCACTGTAAGAATAAATTGACTTATTAGTATAGGATGTAGCATAAAAGAAAGAATCATTGACACGCCATAATCCATGTGGGCCAGCATAGTGAACCGGCTGAGAAAAAACAAATTTATACATGACTGGTGCAAGACTTGTCCGATTATAGAATACAAGAGAATTATTTGAGTTTGATGTAACAACCATTGTTGAGCCATTATTAAGAAACATAATACCACGTGGACCGCTGACACCTGTCATTGTAATATTATTCATTATTGTTAAATTTTGACTGTTAATAATTGGTATGAAATTTTGATTATTTGGAGCAATGAAATATGCATTTTGACTATAACCTATACTCATTTCATTTGCATTTGGGATAGCAATACGAGTAATTGTTGTTAGATTGTTTAGATCAAAACGATGAAGAAAATTTGGTGTCATTTCAACTGTTACTAAATAACCATGATCATCAATAATCATTTCACGAGGTGTCGTTATATTCGCAAGAATGATAGTGGCTTGCTTGAGTCTATTTAATAAATAATTAATATCTGGCATACAACATTGACTGGCATTTGGATATGTTTTTTGAGGAAAATAGAGACGAGCACCTGTCATTATTTGAATACGATATGTTATTGGAAAGACAGAAAATAATTGACAAGTGCCGTTTGGAAACCAATTAAAAGCTGGATATGATAATGATGATAGACAAAGGCATCGATCGTATGTTACATTTATAATTAAAGTAGTATTTAAAGGAATTCTTGAAATAATAATAGTATTATTAATATAAGGAATTTGACCGGAATTAATCAGAAGAATTGGAAGTATTAAATAATAAATGTATATGTGCGACATAATTTGTTCTCTTGTCAACAAACTCATTTTAACTAAATAGAAAATTTTGTTTCTCCTATTTCTCGATTAAATAAAATGAAGAAGAAATAGAATATATCACTTATTTTAATGTGTTAAAATAAAAACTATGGACGAGTTACTCAAAAAGCTTTTTTCTTCTTTTGAATATGCATCACATGATATTATTGAAGTACTTAATAAATTCATAGAAGAGAATAGATCATTAAAAAAACAGGGCATTAGTCTACATTATAAAAATGATGAATATTTTTACGAAGTTTTAAATCATTTGATAACATCATATTGCGAAGAAGATACATATAGAACAACTAATGTCATCTGAACTTTATTTTGTGATTACGATTTATTAATTCTGATTTTAATTGAATAACTTATTATTCAGGCTTGATTACATTTATATGTGCCGATGTTTTTATTAGCATTTATCAAATATTATTATTTATTTTAGTATCAATCGTTCTATAAGTGTTAGTAAATTTCTTATTGAATACTATATCATTAATAATGATTGTTTTCCACAAGGTGTATCCAAATTTTATTTATTGATGAGCTTTTTTCGCTCAGATCAGATCTCAATAGCACTCACGGGTTTTGAGAGAATAAAAACAACATTAGCAAATATAGTTTTTATATGTCCTCTTACTTTTCAAGATGAAGATGTGGGTAAGAGTGATCATCTAAAAGACGTTTTTTATTTATACGCATATGCAAATTTTAACAGTTGTTTTATAATATCACTTACATGCTTCAGTGAAGCACTGAGTTTTACTAAGTAAAAATCATGTTAGTTAGTTAATTACACCCATTACCGTCTCCAGCGTAGGGTGAGAATGCAAACAAAATATAGAAGCACACAAAGGTATTGAAAGTGCAGTTTTAAAGACTGTTCTGTTGCTCGCTACTGAAAACTGAACTAACGAGGGAACCTCTCCAGGTGATAAAGCCCTTTAAGCGCCATCTTTT